AGATGCAAGGCTCGCCCCTGCTATCGACACATATATTTTAATCGCCATTTCACCTTATGTTTGTATTTGGACAGCACAGTTTCTCATTCAGCTACTTTTTGCACAGATCTGCACAAAGATAAGAGTGTTGGTGAAACAATATTTCTAAGGCCAGTGAAAAGGAGGAGTTCCCCGACTCAGCAACAATAGACTTTGATCTAAGGCCAGTGAAAAGGAGGAGTTCCCTGACTCAGCAACAATTGACCTTTGACACTGTGAAGTAAGGTTTAAAGGCAAACTTGCCAACCCTCCATGCTGGGCAACAGTCAGTAGTAAAACAGGAATCATCAGCACATTTTTTTACAAAATGGCTCTAGAAGTCCTATACTGTCACCACAAGCAGGGATATTAAAACATCTATATTAATTTGTTGTTAACGTGCATTCTTTTTTCCCTAGCTGATCACTACATAATAAAAAGCAGTGAAAATCTTCTGGACCTAAGAAGTCACTTTGACCATGCTACTTCTGTGAATTCCTCTAATCTCATACCTAAGGAGGCTGGTAGAGAAGAATCATTTAAAATTAAACTAGAAAATTTCATAATAGAAAATGACACCATAATCTACTTTGCTATACGTGCTGTTGATGATACCAACTTGATTTCAGAGGTGTCTAATATAGCGCAAACCACGTGGTTCGTTCCTCCAAAAGCATCTGTGCCTTTACAGTATGACGGCAACAATGATGGTGCTGACAGTACAGTAATAGTGGCAATAGTAGCTGTGTGTGTAATAGTTGTCTGTACTATTGTAAGTTCAACTCTGTGTGTTTTACAAAAACGAAAGGGAAGAGTGGATTTTGAAACAATGCAAAAGCGTATGTAAAAATATAGTTTCAAAGGAGGGAAAGGTATTCGTACATTCAAAAAGTAAGTGCACTGATTTTAAACAGATGCATTTGTCTTTTTTGATAGGCGTATAGATGTAGATTTTCAAAAGTGTGTCTTATATTCAAGTATTTGTACACTGATTAAAAGTTAAACATAAAAGCACGTACTCAGAAATATAGTAAAGTATGATATGTGTACCATCATTTGTTTCTATGTGATAAAAATACTTAACTCTTCTGTTGCAAGGTTTTTCCAATGTAGTGTCGTTTTTTTTCTTAAATAAAGAAGACAAAGGAATATGATACTTTCCTTATTTTTATTCTCCACGTAACTATCAAGTAAGGCAAGGCGGGAGAGATGATAGGTGATTTCCTATGTATCTTTCACATGTTGTCAGTTAGGCTTAGGGAGCTGAGAACAAAAATATGTACCTGCAGGCTGTTTATTTATAAAAAAATATTTAAAAATATGTACCTGCAGGCTGATTATTTTTCAAAAAATATTTAAGTATGGGTATCTACAGGTGTGTAGAAGAGTTGAGTATATAAATACTTCCAGAATGAGAGTTGCAGAGTATATGCAAATGAGCACATAGAAAATGTTCCTAGGTGGAGACTAAACAAAGCTATAAATTTGGAGCTAGAACAAACCTTTATACAACGAGGTAATTTAAAAGCTGCTAATGGAGAAGGAGTGTGAGAGATACAGGGAGAAGGGTGATCAGTATGACTCTTAGGTTGCTGACTAGCAAATTAACAACTGACTCAAACCAGAATTCTTCAAACTTCTTACGTGGCCAAGTACTTTTTACCTCTGCCTTCCAAAAACTGGGAAAAATGTACAATAATAATGAAAAAATGTTAAATTCAACAGTCAAATTATCATTCACAGTCTAGTAAATATACCATGTCTAGCAAACATGATTACTTTCATTTACAAGCTTGATACTATTAATGCAATTTCTGATAGTGGGAATTACACTTCAGAACCAATATACAATTTTTATAATTAATGTAATATAATACGCACCCTCACCAAGTTTGCTGATGACACTAAACTGGGTGGTGAGGTGGGTATGTCAGAAGGGAGAGCCATCTCACAGAGAGATCTGGACAGGCTGGAAGAGTGGGCTAGCAAGAACAGTATGAAGTTTAACAAAGAGAAGTGCAAAGTCCTGCTCCTGGGAAGACATAACCAAAGAGCCCAGTACAGGCTGGGCTCTGTGGCTGGGGAGCTGCCTGGCTGAAAGGGACCTGGAGGTCCCGGTGGACAACAAGCTGAACATGAGTCAGCAGCACGCCGCTGCAGCAACAAAGGCAAATCGGCTCCTGGGCCGCATCTGCAGGGGCATTACTAGCAGAGGTAAGAGAAGTGATCATCCCACTCTACTCAGCGTGTGTCACGCTGCGCCTAGAGTACTGTGTCCAGTTCTGGTCCTCACAATTCAAAAAAGATGCGGACAGACTGGAGAGGGTCCAAAAGGAGGGTCACTAAGATGATCAAAGGGCTGGAGAACCTGCCCTATAAGGAAAGACTGAAGGAGTTAGGTCTCGTCTCCCTGGAGAAGAGAAGGCTCAGGGGGAACCTCATCACAGTATTCCAATGCTTAAAGGGCAGCTACAAAGAGGACGAAGGCTCTCTCTTCACAAGAAGCCACATGGAGAAGGCAAAGGGCAATGGGTACAAGTTGCACTAGGAGAGGTTTCATCTTGATACAAGAAAGAAATTTTTTACAGTGAGAACAATCAATTGCTCAAACAACCTCCCCAGGGACGTGGTAGAGTCCCCATCACTGGAGGTTTTAAAGCTGGAACTGGACAGGGTGCTAGGTAATCTCATCTAGGCTCCCTTTTCCACAAAAGGTTGGACCAGATGAGCTTTTGAGGTCCCTTCCAGCCTGGGCTATTCTATGATTTTCCTGCACACACCAACAAATCTATGCAAATGTTGAACAATCATCTGAAGTTTTCTTCTCAGTCTTTCTATCTGCAACATCAAATTTTGCCCTTTGTTCTACCTTACCTTTTACATTTTAACAGCACAACTTTTTAATATTTTAATGGAATTTCTCTACCTTGCCTTTCCTATTTCTATACTTTCCACAAGTTCTGCTTTTTCTTTATCTAGGTTTCCCATTTTTTGTGGGTTTCTGTACTTCTACATAATGCCATCTCTTAATGGATATGTTTTCAGATCTAAAATTCCTTTTCCCCACACAATAATAAATGTTGTAATTTCAGTTCATATCAAGGCCAGAATAGCTGTCACATTTTAAAGGAAAGAGACTCCTTTGGAGAAGAGAGTCAGAGATCAAAGCATTATTTGCTGATATCAGTTCCCTCTAATAGTTTTTAGGTCACTGAATGTCCATTTATTCAGAAATATTTCCTTTTGTTTGCTTCTGAAGTGTCTTCTTATTCCCTAAAATATTTCTGCTGCATACAAATTGTTTGGTAGGAACTACATCATACACTCAGAAAAAGTGGGTTGCAGCACTGTTCCTGGAACTATTTCCTAAAGTTACGTAAAAATATGACAGACCTTACATAGCCAATCTCCATGATCCAAGACAACTCATGCGTTACTCTGAAGACACCCAACCCTACCTGCCCAGCGAGCAGAGCTGTAGTAGTCTATTGTGTGGCGACACTGACATCTAGTGGGCTCCAACAACACTTCCAGTTTTCCCAAATGTTCCAAAAATCGGTTTAGATCAAAGCAGCTCTCTCTGGGATATTCTGACCTTCATACAAATGCATATTTAAAAGCACAATCAAATATGAATAGTCGAATGTTGAATTTAGTACTTAAGGCTCGCCCTTACTATAGGAGCATGAAGAAGATTTATTTGAGTTAGGAGCTTCAGTTTACTGAGCTCTATCTATAGTAAAAGCTCTGAAGAACTCAGTTCAAGTAACGCAGGATTCAGCACTCCCCCAAACATCTCTGCAAAAGACAGACAAAATTTGCTCTTTCATGCTTCCTGACAAGGAAGTGCAAAATGACGGGGTAAGACTGTTTGATTGATTTCAATGATTATGTTTACACTAACAATATGTATGCTCAAAAGCTATGTAGGCTGGGGTCCCAGTCGCTGACACAACTGCCACATGCCAGTTCAGGCTAGCTAGAAAAGATGCGATCGATAAAGTCAAAACCATATAAGCTTTGGTCCTCAATATGGTCTTCCCAATGCTCTTAAAATAATTTCGGCTTCCAGCTTCCTACACAGACCTCACAGTGTTCCACGGAGAATATAAGTTTAATTATTCCTATGCCACATGTGGAGAAACTGTAGTACCAGTGCCATAAAGTGACTTTCTCACAGTCATCAGCAGGGAAGTGGTAGAGCTGCAAATGCACCTCCAGTCATTAAACTATCATTGCACAGTAAAAGGAAGAAATCCCAAAACTTCAGGTTTTATTTCCATAGGGGCCAGTTATGGCCTATAGAATTTTCCATACAATCTTCCTCCAAGTATAAGATAGACAGCTGGGGTGTGGGACCAAATTATTATCCTGTCTGGGTATCAAACTAACCCACTATGGCTCCAGGAAATATGATACTGAAAGGACAAATCACAAAAACAAGACATGATTTACCTAGCCCAGTTCCCTGAAATTTCAGGACTTCTGCCTACTGAATGTTTTGCCGATTGCTGCATGCAGTCCTAGTACAACTCCAGTTTAAGTGTTTAAGGGAAGCACAGCAACAGCTGCCGTAAGGATCAGCGGAAGAGCGCACTAATGTGAAAAGGAGCATTAATTCTCACTCAGATAGCTGTAGTTTCTGAGCGGAAACGTGCTGTTGAGAACAGCTGCTTTCTAGTTCTGTCAAATCCAGTCCCCAGATTTTTCATGAAAGCCTGATTGTACCCAGGCCAGGCAGCTGGCACTACTGATTTTATAATCTTTGCCTGGTTATTATCAAGCTAAGCTCACAGTTGTTAATGTTGGCACAGAAGCTATAGACTCACACACAAACAAATGCCCTTACCTATTTCAGTAAAACAAGCTTTGACTATTAAATAGAGGTAAAATTTAATAACGTTTATTTAAAATGACACATCCCACTCATTCTATTTTTAGATGCCTTTTCACTACAGTAATAAACATTAAATCAAATTTACCTTCAGATTTTCAGGCACATCTATTTTGAAAATCTGGTTCTAGGATTGCTGCTATTCTTCAAAGTATTAGCTGGAGTTCTGCAGGTTGTAACTGGTAATACACTGCCAGAACTCTTCATTTCCTGCTGTTTAAATGCATTAAAAGATGACATGAATACATCAGTATTCATAAAACAGCAAATATATGTGGCAGTTACATAATGATGAGTGGGAAGGGGAATAGTGTATATACACACAGTGACACAAGATGTGACCCATATAACTCAATGTATTATAGAACTAAATATGTATGAATTCCAACATGGGTACTACATTACTGGGATTACACATGCTACCAAAATGTGTTTGTTTATTTTACTGTGTTTTCACAGTGGTATAAACTGACTTATGGAGGCATTTTTGGGTTGTCTTTGTTAAATCTTTGACTCCGTAGCCTTTGGTTTAAACACTACCTTCCCATGAAGTCAGAAAGCAGTACTGAGAGTCAGCTTAGAAGCATTTAAGTTATAAGCTATTCTTCTTTATATAAAAATATTTTATTTTCTTAGTTATACTATAAACCTTTATATTAATATAATTTTGTTTGGTTAGTTGGTTGCTTTGGGTTTTTTTGGTAAGTAAGTCTTTAAGGATATGGTCCAAGACCCATTAGCATCAAGGAAAGAATACTGGAAGCACTCCCAATGGACACACTAGATATTAGTAAGCGGTATTCAAAGGATTGCTTTAAAATTCAAGTATTTTAGGACAATCATACATTCCTTAAAATTAAAGCACACCTTAATGGCAAGGTGAACAAACAAAATAAAAATGGACATTATCTATCAAGCTATTCTGAACCATTCTAAAACTGTGCTAAACCCGTAACGTTTCTGCAAAGTGACCTTAAAAAATGCTTGATTCCACACACTTTCAATGCTTTTGATTTTCATCAAGCTTTTCAAGGAAAATCTAATGACAAGAAATAAAACCTTAAGATTAATTTCTTCACAGATAAGCCTGACACAGAAGCAAAGTTAGTACAGAGTTAGTAACAGCAACTGCACTGCAGCATCTAGTTATTCAACCTACAGATCTCAAGCTTCTTGCCCTATTTTACAGTGTAAAAATTTTCAAATGTAATTTGAAATGTAAAAATTTTCAAATGTAATACTTTGCTGCAAAACTTTACAGCTACATGATCAAGATTTAGGTAAACAAATGTCATGATCTAGAGAGATATAAAGGGCTAGAACTACAGCAATTCTAACGATTGGTCTTATTTGTCTCCCACTTCAGGAAATCTTAATCAGAAATCCTCAAAGCCCTCACTCAAATTATTACCAAGTAACCGTATTGAAGTTCTCTATATAAATTCTACTTCTGATCATAGGCAGAGATGTTCCAGGGTCTGTTTATATCCAACAGTACAATGCTGTAAATGGTTATTTCTTCTTTTTCGACACGTTATAAGCAAGGCTGAAGATCAGGCAGTAGGCAAAGTACGGTGTTCACCACACCTGCTGGTGCATTGGCTACCCACCTTCTTCTTAATTATTGGAGATAAGAGGACATGGCACGCTTCAATTTCTTTTTCAGCCTGAGACGATTCTGTAGATTCTCTTGTGGCTTATACTTCAGTACTTTTACAAATGACAATCCCTGGTGCCTACCCTACACTTCTGAAGGAAGATACTGTTCCTCCAGCACATGAGGCAGAAGTAAACATGCTGACTCCTCAGCTGTTTGCAGCTGATTTTATCAGAATGAGGTAGGGTATCTCTACACACCGTAGATTCTTTGAATATACCTTCAGAGCTCTCTTGGTCAGTATCTAGTTTGTAACTAAGCCCACACGCTAGGTATGGCTCTCCTTACCCGAGCCAGATGTATTAGTTTATCCCAAACTCAAGTCCCTGACAGTGTTTTTGGCTCTGAATAGCAGCTGTAGAGAGGGACCACATTTCCTACTAGAACCAGGTTTTGAAGCTTCCAATAAAGACAGGGCAGACAGCCTGCATGTGGTAATCTCCTAAAATGACATGAATCTCCAAAATTCAGCTGTTAACGTCTGAATGCCTGTTCCTTCTAGGATGCCAAAAAAACATCCAGAGTTTGTCCTGAACATTATTTTATAGGCCTACAGGGTGTGGAGAAAGAGAATTTCAAGAAAGGGAGTAACTCAGTAGTGTTTTAAGACTGGTAGAATGCTGTGGAACTCAGGAGGCATGGAGTTCCCGGCTGTGATCCATTAACTGAATTTATTTTTACATTGTAGGATAAAATGGGGAAAAAATTATCCCAACTAGGGTTTTATATGAAATATATAACACGCACTAGAACAGATCTTCCTCTTAGATTACTGTAGTAACCATTAGCCTGGAGAGTTATTTTCTCCCTCTCACTCACATTCTGACTGCTTAAACATTCATGAAAAGAGGATGTTAAAAGTGAGAACTGAAAAAACACATCCAATGCCCCACGTATGCCAAACAGCCCATCTGCTAAAGGTGGAAGTACCGTCTACTTAAGGCATTTTCCTAAGAAGCGGGCCTGTTCTGTTTAGGGCTCCTTAGGACAGCAGCAACTAAAAGTAGGTATTCCAAATCCTACAAGAACACTCTAACCCATGGGGGCTTAAAGGCTGGGAGTCTTCTTCCTCTTCCATTCAGGTTATGATAGAAAGGAGAGGTATCTAACCATTTTCTGAAGGAAAAAGCGGAGTGTCAAGGCTGTCAGTCAATATACCACAGAAAGCAGCACCTTCCTCTCTGGCAGGTGAGGCTCACATGTCATGGGCAGCAATAGGGTGCAAGCTTCAGGGAAGAACTAGCAGTATTTTGTTTTGGGAAGAGCTAGACCGTGTTGGTTGCTGTCAGTTCCAGCCTGAACATACCCCTCTCCCAAGGCATTATTGGGGTACATCTCACCTCTGCCTTAAGGTCAGGCACCGCTGCTTTCAGTTGTTTGGCACCTCTGTCTTTTTGTAGAACTCCATTAACGGGATCTGCTGACGCTTAGCACCAATGAAGGCTATGAAATGAAATAATTGCATCTGTGTGTCCAGATTTAAAATCGTTGATGTTGTTGTCTTTTCACATATCCTACACTGATATCACAAGACATCGTAATCAGCTCTTATATGACCACGTAGTGCTGAGCATTACAAGAGAGACTCATGAGACCTTTATATGCTAGTAAAACTCATTTTAAGAAATGGAAACAATCTTGCCATATAGTTTTTACATATAAATACTTACATTCGTGTATAAGTGAGACAATAAAAGCTGAAAAAAGTAGAATGTATTCAAGCAAAGCAAACACATATACACAATAGCTTTCAGGCCCTCTCCTTATCAGTACTAAAGGTACAATGGGAACTTTACACAGCCTGGGTTTTGTTTTGGTTTTAATTCCTGACCGGCACATAAACAAGATTGCGTTAATTGTTACAGTTATTTCCTTTCTCTGGAACTCACTTCTTGTCATAATCCCCTAGGATTTCCTCTGACTTTATCAAATTTAGCCAAACATTACCTACTATTTGGATTATGAGGTAAATTACTTAACTGAACGACCAGGATCATTTTCAAGCTGGGAATATTAGCTTGTTGACAGTGATGCCACATTGTAAATCTGTTTTTTAATTGCTACCCCATGTCAAAGGTCCTTTCTTTTCTTCTTGGGCATTTGCAAATCATGATGAGATATGTTAAAATAATGGAAATTACAGAAATAAGAGTCTGTTTTCTTCTTCCAATTTGCTTGATTGCTGTCATTAAGTTATGCTACTATACTCAAGGTATTTTCAAATACTCCCTTTGTGATGCTTTGGTGCTATTTTATAGTTGTGTCTCAGTACACGTTTATCTAAACAAGCTCTTTCAATAAACAGCCTTTTTCTGAACGACTTCTTAAAAATTCTTTCCCAGCTTACATTTCCACGGTCTATCCGAAAAATATTTTCCATGAAGACAAACAAGATTTGACTTACAAAACTCTGGACTCAAGAAATGGGGGCGGGGAGGAACTTGTCCCCTCAGCGCCGGGTCCGAGGGTGTGAGCCCCGATGGGGCAG